TTGTAAGTAAAGTGGACACCTGCCTCAAGAGGCATCATTTTTACTCAAAAGAATGACGAAGGGGCAAAATGAGTTATTTGAACATGAATCTCCAGTGATATTGTCTCAAAACAAACATAGTTAGCCTATCTGTCACATCAATGAAAAGAATAGATTATATTTGTTGCTAATGATATTTGAGCTGTTAAGTCAAAATCCGAATCTTGGAACATGTTTATTTCCCATAATTTCAGCTTCCTCAAGAGATGGTGGTAATGCAAATAAATGTGAATTTTTGATATTGTAAATCAATACAAGTTGGTTTTTTGAGGGGGTGGTGATGGAATTCAAACTCAGGGCTCCACTTGCTAGGCAGGTGCTCTACCACTTGAGCACCTGCCAGCTGCTCCAGCTGAGTACAACAAAGTTTTGACACTGAAAATGTCAACATTGAAAAGATCTGTATACCTCTACCATCTAATATTTTCTAAATGACCAATATATAATGTTTCAGAGCCAAGTGTGGGTGAAAGAGCCATTCAAAGTGTAAGACAGGCCAAAGGATTTTAAAGTAAGTAGGTATAAAGCATTCACTGAAATGGTTTCAGATTTTACACTGCACTAACCTTTAAGAAACTACCATTGTTTAGTTATGTTATGGTATTAAAGAAAAAATATTCACAATGGCCTGAAAAGGGTATCAAAATAATCTCTTCTCAACTATATACCACTGTGAAGCTGGATTTTCTTCAAAAAAATTACAATAAACTGAATTTAGAAGCATCCGAGAATTCTTCTGTCTTCTATTGTTATACATAAAGGAGACTTGCAAAAAAAAAAAAATGTTTATCCCTAAACAGTTTCACTAGGGAAAACATTAATCAATCATTTTGAAATGTGATGTACAATAGCAGACGATGGGTTGGTCTGGTTTTTTATTTGCTCACAGTACTGAGATCAAACCCAGGGCTTTATACATGTGAGGCAAGTGCTCGCTGAACTACATCCCCAGCTCCTGACATTATTATCTTTAAGCAAATTTTGTTTGAGTTTCTAATACAGTAAGTATCAAGAGAATTAACCCACATGAATAAAAATTCTGGGTTCTTCAACAATTTTTAGAATGCAAAGAGGTCTTGAGGCAATGTTCTTTTGCTTTTGTTTCTGGACAGCCCTAAGTTGCCTGGAGCTGGCAGCCTTTCTCTAATTTCACACCTTGAAGGGCAGGAACACCTAAACCACTGGCCCCAGCTGAGTCTGACAACTCTGCAAATGCTCTGGTCAGCCAATGGGCCATGAGTCTTCTTTCCTGGAGGGCTTCACCTTGTGGCTAAGGAGTCCAGTGATGTACTTTTAACATTTTCCACTCACAGCTGGCCAGTATCACCAGGCACTCTTGAGACGGTGTGTGTTCTTTTCTAGTCTGCCACCTTGCTGAGCTGGTACCCCTCGCCAGCACTCTGCACTCACCTCTATCAGCTGTCCTTTCTCCCCACCCCAGTCCACTGACCAATACTGGTCACATAAGCCAAAGTCCTCCAATGGCTCCAGTGCCTCTATAAGTAGGTACCTTCCAACTCTGACCAAATAGATGGAATGAACTGATTAATTACTAAAACCTATAGAACACAGAATCTCAGACTTAGGCTCCACTGTGAACAAAACAAAACACAGCTACCATTACTCAAGATGTCTAAGGGTAAGCTAAGGACAGGTATGATATGCCTTCTAGAACTGCCCCTGCAAAACATATCTTGCTCTACCTAGTCCAGCTGGGAAGAGGGAGACCACAGCCTTCAGAATCTACGTGTGGGTTCCTACACAAGCTGTGTGATCTTGGTTAAATGGCTCCTTTTCTCTGGCACTGGCCAGGTATACAGGTGTGCACTGTCATGAGGCACAGTGCCAACATCAGAAAATGCCATTTAGCAGGAGACCCAGCTAAGTTCCATATCTCTATCCCCACAGTCACTACCTACCAGTGGTGAGACCTGTGGACCAAGAGTCCTTTGACAGTTATCGCTCCCCATGAGGAAAAGCTTGATAAACAGTTTGGGGCAGTGACCCCAAGAAAGTCTCTATGCAATGGTTGGGATGTTAGCACACCTTGATGAACAAGGCTGACCTGAAGAGATGCCAAGGACACCTGAGGACCAGGCTGAGAGTCTGCACTTAACAAAACCATGACAGTTTTCTGAGGACTTCAAGGAGGCAATAACTGAAGAAAAAGGTGTCTACTGTGGACAGTTCTCGCAACAAAAGGAATGAAGCTCAAGTAGCTGAGACCAGGAGCAGGAAATGGGCTAAGAGGCAGGAGCAGAAGGCAGTCAAATACAAAAAGCACCAGGGCCTCAGGGGGCTGACATGTTGATCAATTTGAGCCTGAGTTTTAAACCAGCTTGTATCCTCATGTGCATCTGGGCCTAAAATGAGAGCGGCCCTTGCATGTACAAGAACAGTCTGTAGGAGAGGTCTGCTGAAATTACCTTGGATGCACTTAGCTACAGGAATATAGTCAAGCTCCTAAATCATGGGAAGGTAGAACTGATGTCCCTCAACTTTGGCTCACGTGAGGCTCCTGTGGAATGGTAGCCACATGGAAGACAGTCACACTGTTAGCACTGACAGCAACATGTAGTAAATGCATGCACAGAGGAGCACTGAGCCTTCTGCTTGTCTGCCTTATCAATAGAGCACTTCGCTGGACAACAAGCACACGAGAAAAATGAAACACTAGCATCAATTTCATTGTACAGCTGATTTTATTTCCAAACAAAAGCCAGATAATCTCGTATTTAAATGCAAACCTTCCATCACCATCAGAGAAGTGACATTAGAAATTTATAAAGGTTTACGTGATAATTCAATCCCTTTTCTAAAGGGAAAAACCTGAAGTTGGAGGAAGAATTAAAAAATGAAAACGTTAACAAAGAGGAGAAGTGATGAACTGATGCACAGACCAAAATATGTCTCTAAGCAGGCACATATTTTTCTTTACAAGAAACAAAGTAAATCAGGAGGACAGCTGGATCAGCAAACAATGGCAGATTTCCACTCTCCAGTTACACAATGAGATTCAAATTTCTCCTCATCAACTCCCAATAGCAAAAGAGAACCAGTTTTCCTCAATACAAATGTTTTGACTAATTTATTCAAAGTAAACCTCACAGTCTAAGTCTTTAGACTGAATTTTCTGGAAGCCTTACTTGGCTTTTCCGATGCAGTAGTTGGGACCTCTTCGGCTGCAGTGACAAGGGCTCAGGAAGAGCAGAACCAGTGAGAACAGCCTGTCTCCTCACCCTCTTGGAGGAAAGGACCCTCCTTCAGATGGCAGCCATGGACCTCTTCTATGGCCATCTTTGTAGGGACCTCTATGCAAGACTTCCCAGAGTGAACCTCGAGAGTTTGGTCTCTCAGAAAACTTCCATGGACTAATACCCTGCTCAGAGCTTCACCCTTTGTCTGGCAAGTCCTCTTCTGTCAGCAAAATTCATCACCCTCCTCTGGCATCTCCCTAATTGTATGTTCAGTCCTAGAACACGTGCTTGTCACCTCTTTGTCTGCCTTCCATCCCACAGTGGGCTCATCCAGGCAGGCCTCCTTACTTGCTGCCATCTCCCATGTACCAAGCTTTCTTGCGAGCTCTTATTCTACCAACCTAACTGGGGGGCAATGGAAGATGCAGAAAGGACAAACGATAGAAGACAGACATGCATAAAGTTGTGCCCAGGTGTGCTGGGCACTCTGCAAAACAGCCTTGTTGCTTCTTTTCTCTAGTAACTCTTCTTTTACTCTGCTTCTTTTCTCTATTCTTTAAAACCTTGCTTCTAAAGTCTTTCTTCGTTTATATTCTTTAAAGTCTCCTTCCTCAGTCTTGCACTGTCCCATGTTCTCTCCTAAAGTCTCGGTGCTCAGACTTGCAGACACATAACAGCCAGCAGCAGCAGCAGCAACAGCATTCTCCAATCAAAATCCATCAATCAATCAATCTTCCTTCAGTGAGTCTTTCATATCCAGTGGTAAACAAGGAGGTGAGCAACAGTTCTTGGGGAGGGGCGTGACACTGTAACAAGAGAAACCTGCATTCCTACTTCTCTGAACATAAACAACTTAGGAAAAGCAGCTGTGCTGCATTTTGCCTTCACCTCCTTCTACAGCTGGGACCATGCCAAACTCAACCTGTTCTCATAATCTGCTCCCCACACCCCCAGGTGCAGAGCACAGCACCTAGTACAAGACGTGTCTAGAACAAATCTCAAGATATTCCACTCTGCACTGAGGGCCACTCCTACCTCAGCCAGTGCTCTACAATATCAGTGGCACCAGTTCTCATTCCTAATTCACCTGCCAACAAGGTTGCTTCTAGGCACTCTGTAGGATTCTTTCCCTGCCCCACCATTTCCATACAATCAGCCCTGTTACTGGGCTTTTCTGTAAAAATCCCAGTCATGGACCCTAGAGGCCATGAATACCAGTAGCACCCCAACCCCACCACAATGGTCCAGGCTACACCAGCTGGAGTTTCCCTCAGGACCAGGCACGGCTGCAGAGGCTCATGTAACCAAGGCTGGCAGGGTAAGGGCTTCCCACAAGCTGGAGTGACAGATGACAGCTGCAGCCTTCCCTGATGCCCTTTAAGGGACAGGGTCTTCTGAAGTCTGCAGGGCTGAACAATGACTCGTGCCCTCAGTGGCACTGATGGCTAGAGTCTAAAAACAGCAGAGGTGGGGAGACCAGAGCCATGAACACATTTGGCACATGTCTTCCTGCTGGAACCCTCAGCAGGATATCCTAGCCATCCCCAGATAGAGGAGCACACACGGTACATCTCACCATGATGCCTTGGCACCCTTAGCAGCACACACTGCTACAGATGTAGATACCATGTCTTCTGAAGCTAGTGCCGGCCTGGCTGATTCAGGAGCAGGCCTGTGGTGTGGAGCTCAGTGTTCTTTTCATGAAATGCACTGCAGGCACTGCACAGCCTTTGGCTGGAGAGAGTCAAGCTGGCCACAGCTCACCTGAATGCCATCCAGCAGCTTGCTCATGCACCAGTAGGTGTCGGCCTCAATGTTGCGCAGCACTTCTGAAGGCACACTGGAGACGTCGACTGTGTCCACATTCTCCACTTCTGTGCAGCACCCAGCATGGAAAAGACAAGGCGCAATTAACCACACGAAATAAACAAAAGGGAGGGAGTGCCAGTGATGAAGAGACTAGCACACTGCTGTCAGGCCCTCCCTCCACCACATTTTTCATCAGGCTAACTAAATTGCTTATGCAGTCTCACACCTCATCACTTAATAGGTCTCAATTTTAATACCTAATTGGTTGCTGTTAATTAATATTCTGAATCCTCTCCAATTAATTAACATAATTAATATGTTATAAATCATTGCTTCTCAGACATTTCAAATTCTAGCAAGAAAGAACTTAGAATATATTAATAAACCCTAGCAGAGACTTGGTGGTGGCTCCATTAGACTTTGAAAACTCTGCTTCTCACATATTTATAGACTCATTCAGTAATAATTCCTCTAAAAACCTGCTTCCAAGGTCAAAACTGCTATGGGTAAGTACTTCTATGCTACATTGAAATACCCCAGAAAGTGGTAACACAGATGGGTTTCAAAGAAGTAACTGACAATGGTGCTCTAAATAATTTCTTTCCAAAGTATAAAAAAACTAGTAAGCAAACATAACTTTTTAAAATATAAAACAGATACTTATCAGATATTTGAACAAGCTAATTTTAGATCCTTACAAAGACTATCATTCAACACTTATAAATATTTTAAAAAATTATGCATCCTGTTTTTCTATTTTCTTTCACCTTATGCGCAAACATACCTGCATCTTTGCAAGGAAATGTTTTTTAAGAAAAGAAGTATTTTAGCTCAGAATATATTTACAAAGTTTTAGGTAAACCGCAATAATGCTAACAAACAATAACAACCATCACCATTCATGAAGTGCTTATCATATGACAGGCAACCGACTCCGTGTTTTAGAGGTACCCGTTTATTGAACCCACGGCAACTCTATGTCACCAGGGGCCAGGACAGCCAGGGACATGCAGAGAAACAATGACATGGAGAAGCCAAGCAGCATGGAAAGCATGAGCTCTGCCATCTGCTCCTGAGCCCACATCTGTAACTGCTCCCCACAAAGTGCCCGGGGCCACACACCCTCATTCACCTCCTAACCAAGCTCAGCAATCACTTCCTTACTAGCTCCTGCACAGTTCCTAGAGCACATGCAGACAACGACACCCCCTCTTGGCTCATGGCTCACAACAGAGACCAGAAAGGTAAAGGAAGAAGAGCATTTCCTAGTCAGGATCCCTTGCTTAGGCATTTATTTCGTGATGGCCTCAAGAACCTGGATGCAGTGACAGCCTTGCACATGCAGCAAACATGGCTTGGTCCTGAGGCATTAAAGGTCAAGGGCCACAGGTTCTACCAGTTCACTCCTCACATATCTCTCCAAGGCGGGGAGGGGTCTATAAGGCACCCAAGCAGAAATGGCACTTGTAATAGCTCCCTGCTTCACTTCAGGGCAACTAGTTAGGTTTGATCTGGTTAGGAGGTGGCTTTTTAATTTGAGAAATAGGCTGGGAATGTAGCTCAGTGGTAGAGTACTTGCCTAGCATGTGTAAGGCCCTGGGTTCAATCCCCAGCACTATGAAATACAAAACACACACACACAAAAGCACATGCACACAAAATTGAGAAGCAATTCCCATATCATAAAATTCATCCTTCAAAAGTATAAAATTTGGGGGTGTGAATTCAGGGGTACATTCACAGAGTTGTGTAACTCATCGCCACTAATTCCAGTGCATTTTCATCACCCTTCAGCAGGTAGACTCCCCTTTTCCCCAAAACATAGTCCCCAGGAGCCACCATCCTAACCCTATCTCTATCACACCCTGTGGCCCTTTATGGCTGGCTTCTTTCACTCAGCATAATGTTCTCAGGATGCACCCATGCTGTAGTCTGCATCAGTACTTCATCTCTACTTGGTCAAAGACTATTCCTCAGCTGGTAGACCATGGGTTGTCTCAGCTGGGGGGTGATGTAGACAGTTGACATTGGCCCCCTGCATGACAACTATCCATACAGACCAAGCCCTGGCCACAGTCATGGGCAGGAGGGTTGATGACCCCAAGAAGCTCATGCGGTAAGGGGAAAACTAATGCTTAGGTGTTAGAGTGGCCCTGGTGGCAGGAAGATTCCTGGGTCAATGGCCTGTGAAGGACCTTCACTCCCTCACCCGGTGTGCTCGCCAACACAGGACAGGGTCACCACTAGACCCTTCTGTTAGAGACAAAATGAGAATAACACATGTGCCTGGCTGCCAAGGCACCTTCCCTGGCCTCCTGACCTTCCCCATGACACCTTCTCTATGGCAGCTCTGCCCACCTGACTCTGAAGGTCTGCAGGCTCTTGCTCCCAAACATGGGACCAGTTTGCCCATCAAGACCCAGTCCTGCAAGGTGCCTGGCCTTGGACCCCTACTGGAACATAAGCCCAGCATCTGACCTAAGCACTCCCTCCAATGAAGCCCCCAAAGAGACTGGGAGGAAAGGCTCTATCTCCCTAATTCCTTACGGCTACCAAGGTGGGAATCATCTTTACCAGGTTACAGATGCAGAAACTCGGTCTTCAAGTGTTCCCAAGGTGTCCTGCAAGACAGCAGCAAGAGAAAACAGAATGGGCCTGCCCAACACCCCATCCAGCCCCATCTCTTGCCTTCCTGCTGAATGAACCAGGAAGGTCGAGGACACAGGCATGGGTGTGAACAGCCTTCTCATTGCACAACCACCTCACAGGGAAAATGGCCTCAGCAGAATCAATTCACATACTGCCGGTCCAAAGCAGATCTGATTTTATTTTCCAATCTCAGGGAATTGAATCAACAACTATAATCAGAGGACTTCTTTTGAGACGTTTTTCACCAACTATTCTCTCTTTTAAGGGCCTTCCAAGCACAGAGATATTTTCCACAGATATAATAAAAGATAAACAGGGAAAGGAAGCCCTCCTTAGCCCTCTCCCAAATTCACAGAAGGAGTGTGACTATCAGCCCAGACCTGCAGAAAATAGGCATAGAAAATAAGACAGGCAGAAACCTCGATTTTTCTTAGTCTGTTTAGCTGGCTTATTATTTTATCCAAGGAAATGTCAGCAGCCTATTCCTGGTGCCATTTCTCACAACAGACCATTTGTTACTCCTCAAGGTAATGAAGTAATGGTATTTAACACAGAGGACCCCTATGCCCATTTGTCTTCTAAACGCCAAGAGAATCAGAACTGCCCTTACTACTAGAAGGAGATAAATATACCCCAGCCCAAGACAGGAGCCACCCACACTGGGGAAAGGCAAGAAGAGTGGCACAGGATACTCTGGAAGCCCCAGCTGTCATGGCAGAGTCAGAGCCCAGGAGTAAGCTAAAGACTGCCCAGAGGTGCCAGTACATGGCCCCAGAGAGGACAGGGCACTGACAGTCCTGGGGGTATGTCCTAAACCAAATCACAGGCAAGCTCAGCAGGCATGACTCCCCGTCCACCTGGTAGAAGCTGGTCTGCTCATCTCTCTGCCTAAGGACCCAGGAGAGGGCATGGATGGGGTCATATCAAGACCCCAAATGGTCAGCAGCCAGGATGTCTATAACTCAAGACCATTTGATTCTAATAGATACACATTTTCCACTGAGTATGCCATCACCCATAGGGAAAGGCATGACTAAGGCAAAGATGAGAGGGATGTGGAGCCATCACAGAAGCCACAAGGACCAGGGGCCTGAGTTGACTGGGACTGGGATGTCTGTGGTGTGTTAATTCCCTAAACAAGTATCACACAAATGCAGAAGGAATATGACACCAACCACATGAAAGGAAAGAAAGATTTTTCAGCTAAGATCACAAAGGAGAAAGGAAAACTAAGACATTAAGGAATTCAGAGCAATCTTAGGATTCAAAGTAAAAAAACATAATTCCATAGGGAAAAATGATAAACACACAGGTGAAAACAAATAGAGAAGCAGACCTGGATGGTTCGTAAGTGGAGGGTGAGCTAAAGAAAACTGCTGCAAGGTAGGACTGCTCCCGAGTGGGTCATGGAGATCTGGGCACAGATCTTGGCCATGGAGACTCTGCTCCACAAGCTGCTTAGACGCCAGAGGCCATGACAGAAGATGGGTGATGTGCAGCGCACTCCAGGACCATAGGGGGAGGGTCACAACTTCAACCTCGTCCCAGCCAGGTGGGAATGACTGGGCCCTGGGAGCCATAGCACAGAGGGGCTGACTCTGGGGCTCTCTATGGTGACATTTATTAAACACGTGATTTAAAACAATGGAATTCAAACCAACTTGTTTCATCTGAAATTTGACTATATTCTAGCTTTTACTTCTATCATTTAACTACAAGCTGACATTAACACCAGCCTGCATGGCACTATTCTGACACATACCCAGCCCCTCTTCTCCCTCATTATCCACAGCACCTCCCTACAGGGCCAGGCCTGCCCCTGTACCCTAGTTGGGGTACAAGGTTGAGAAAGGTGGGAACCCTCCGAGTGGTCAACAAGAGCACAGGCTAACCCACATGAACGTGAAGGAAGTAGAGAAGCCACTGCCACAGCTCAGGGCAGAAAATCAACAGTCCCCAGTAGACAACCACTGAATGAAAAATCATAGTTAATTAAAAATAATCCAACTCACCATCTTAGATTGCAGAAAAGCATTAGGGATGATTTAAATAACTTCTTTGAAAATGCTGTCGTGCTATATTATTAAGTAAAAATCTATTTGTAAAATAATCACACCTTTTTCAACTACTCAACATCATAAGCTCCACCACCACACCTCTGCAAACACACAAAGGACACACTTCACAGGATGCCACAAAGAGGGAACCATGGACACCCCTTTGAGGAGAGGCTGGGAAATTGCCACTCTATTTTCTGTAGAAGGGTATAGAGCATAAAGAAAGGTGAATTTTCACAATAAAGTTATTGTTTTTGCAATAGGAATGACAATGTTGTTCAAACCACTGGAATAGCTGAACTAAGGTCTATCTATTCCCCGGAGGAAAAGCTCCCAAGAGTGAAGCTCTTCCTTTGCAA